GATGATCCAGATGTACTATATGGAGATGATGAAGATGATGTTCAAATTTTCGTTTTTACCCCATCTGCAGTCTATCAGGCAAGTGATGATGACGAAGCCCCATTGACAAATGGGTAGTTTAAAACCTTGAATCAAAAGTTGGAAAATATTTTGGAGTCTACCGAATCTTCCACAAATTATGAGTACATGTTACAGTCTCATAAGGCTACTGTGGAAATGCTGACCAAATAGAATGTGAAGGTGCTTGCTACCCCATCCAAGACTATCAAAGAATCTGAGAAAACCATTGCTGATACGACCGAAAAAGTCGAAAAACTACATGTTAAAGTCCAACAGTTTATAGCTGATTTCTGAAGCTTAGATGATAAGAATATCAAAGTGGCAAACAAAGTCATTACGAGTCTCGAAACTACTCTCAAGATAGAAAAAGAAGCTCTTTCCAAGATTCGTTCCGACCTCAAGGTTGACAATGCTGAGATGAATGCCTTCGTTGTGTCCATATTGAGCAGCTTCAGAAAGATCTTGCTGCTGAAAATGCAATCATGGACAAATTGGTTACGAAGACTGAAAAGGTTAAGGTTCTCTCTCTCAAACTCAACTATGCCAATAAACAATTAGATGATCTGGAGTCTGAGAAAGATATCATCAAAACCCGTGTTTCCGAAATTAATCAATATATGTATCGTATGGTGGAAACTCAAGATTCCATTCTTACCATTTCGGTTCGCCAACACCTAAATGAGAAGCTCAAGCTAGTTTTTTCCATGTTGAACCGACTTGACGGTGTTTCGGCAGATGATGCTCTTCCAAAACAAGAGGGATAATAAGTTAAAGAGATAGAACAACGTAAGCCCCATATTAAAAAGCCCACTGGTGAACCGCATGAGGAAAAACCGAAAATAAATTCGAAGGTTAATGAAGCTTCAAGATCTAAAAGGAAAGAAATTTTGATTGATGATGATGATGGATAAGAAGTTCTCTCAGAAGGTGAAAAATTGGTCAGGAAGAAAAGGGACAAAGTGTTTGATGATCTTCTGATTCTTCGCAAAGAATTGGAAGCAAAGAAGCATAAGAGAGAGTTGCGAAAGTTACTCTTACAACTCAGATGTCATTATTTCCTCCATGGACTCTTGTGTAACATCCCAATTTTTAATGGAGTAATTAATAAATAAAGCAGGAGTCCCGGGAAGTAATTTTATTATTGTTGTATATTTTTATAGTCCAAAATTAATTAATAATTATTGGAATGTTAGTTTTGAGGGTTAAAGAATGATATTGGACTTAATTTGAAAGGATCTTGAATGACTGAGGTTTAAAGAGTAATTTCTGGACTTATATTGAAAGGATTTTATGGAGTTAAGGGCTAAAGTGTAAGTTCGGACCTGAATTGAAAAGAATTATAAATGGAAGGGTTAGAAAGGTAAATTATGGGTTAGTTTTGAAAGAATTAGGGGAAGGAAGGGCTAATCTTGTCAATATAGGATAGACTTGTATGGGACTCGGGGTATAAAACTTATAATTCTGGTGAACCCTAACCCTACATCATAAGCAACCGTCACCTTTCCTCCTTATACCTCCCGTTCCCCCTCCCAACCGCCGGACCACCGTTAACTTCGGTTCTCAGCAGCCTCCGCCGAGTTTCTCCGATGTTCCAACCTCTAGTCGACTGCCGCCATTGCTTTACTCTCCAAATGTCACAACCGCTGCTGGTGACGTCGTGGGCAGCCGAGGGAGAGCCGTCGAAGATCACCAGTGCCACCTCCTTGTCGTGTTCCTTCTTCATCTCCATTTTGTTTCGGGTTGGTTGCACCGCCGCTGTGCACAATTGAGAGGAATGAAGCCGCCACCGCCATTGGTTAAAGACCACCATTCCACTATTTCATTCGCTGCCACCAGTTGTCACCGCTCCTGTGGTGGCTGAGGAAGAAGAAAACCGACGTTGGGATGTCGGGAGTAAAGAGGGACAACCCTTGTTATCGCTGCTACCCGCCTTTTAGGTCTCCACTGTCGTCTCACGCCACCAGGTGGGTGGCTGGGGTCATTTTGTGAGCAGATGGGGTGTATGCGTTCTTTTAGCCGGAACTCGCGAGAACTGCTACCTCCAACCACCGCCTACCGCCATAGGCGGTTGTGTGGGTGTGTGTGTATTCGTGTATGTAGTTATATCAGTGTGTGTTGTGTAGATGGTATTGTAAATTGTATTGTAACTTGTATCGGAATAATGGAAAGAAAGTCAAAAACCACCGTCGTGAGGTGGTGGCTGCCGCAACCGGCCGCCGTGTTGGGTGGCGGTGTGCTTTGCATTATGGTATTGATTCATTGGGATGGTTGAAACCCTAATGGGCTTAATGAAAGTCTAGTGGGCTTAATGGGGCCTAATAAAGCCCTAATCGACCTAATAAAATCTTAATGGGCCCAATAAGGCCCAAAGTGACCTAAAAGCCCAACCAATTGATTAATGGGCTAAGATTGGGTAGGAAACCTTAATTAGGGTTTGGAAAACCCTAATGGCATAAAACCCTAATTTTGAGAATTAATTGGGACACACACGAGATTATTTAATAACTTGAAATATTAAATAATAATCATTGGCAAAATTAACCTGAAAGCAATATTGGACTTAATGGATTAAGTCCTTAGTAGATTAAGTTCTTAATGGGTTAAGTAGGAACACTTAACCCTAATCATCATTTCATGTGAAAAACCCTAATTTTGGGATTTTGGGCTTGGACTTATCGGAACCCACATTTGGGCCAATGGAATGGAATTAAGTATTAAGCCCAATTACATCATAAGACTAATTTAGTAAAGTAAGGGACTTAATGGATTAAGTCTTTAATGGGTTAAGTGAGAAACACTCAACCCTAATTGTCATTTTATGTGAAACCCTAATTTCACTTGAGTTTTATGTTGGGCCTTTCCTTTAGACTTTGGTAATTGGACTATTAATGGGCCATCCAAGAATAATCATATGGACTAGAATATATTGATGGGTTTAGGGTAAGGCCCATATGAGGGTGTGGGCCCAATTTGGAAAATTAGGCTATATGTTGGGTTTTGGCCCATTACTTGACTATTGAGCCTTTAGTGTGTGAGTTGGACTTTGGGCTTGGAACCCAATTATTAATTGGTGTTGTTTGATGTTGACAATTCGGGAATCTGTCAACCAGCAGCTGGGGTTTTATCGACGGGACTTCAGCAGTGCCAAATGAGTTCTCCTCACTATATCAATAGGGTCTACGGCACCAAGGTTGACCCTTTATGATTTACATCCTGACTTAGGATGGTTGCTATGGTATTACTATGCTAGATTTCATCCTGACTTAGGATGGTTGCTATGTTATTGCTATGTTAGATTTCATCCTGGTTTAGGATGGTTGCTATGCTAGAGATCGATTAGATCGATATCCTAGTTATAAGATGGTTGCCATGTTAGTGATCTGTTAGATCTGCATGTTTACTTGTTATATGTATGTGCACATGTTATTGGTTTGGGGAAGGGTTGAGGCAGGTCCTGCTGTGTGCAGTAGTGCCAAGACACCCTGGGCGGACAGGGTAGACTGCAGGCTCGGGCTGGGCAAATCTAGTCAGGCCGAAGGCCCAACGAGCGGTCTGGATAGGCTGAAGGCCCCGAAGAGGGCGGTTCAGACGTGCCGAAGGCTCGGAGAGCGGTCCAGATAGACCGAGGACCAGGAGTTGGTACAGTCAGACTGATGGCTCATTATGCATGCTGTATTTTTATTTATATGCTTGATTGATATGGTTATATTTGTATGACGTTGGTATTTTGGGGAAACTCACTAAGCTTCGGGCTTACAATTGTTGATTATGTTTCAGGTACTTCTGATGATTGCGGGAAGGCGAAAGCGTGATCGTACAACTCCTCGTATTTTCATGATTGATTATGGGGATACTCTGATGTTTAAACTATTTTGAAAACAGATTGCAATAACTTAATGGTTTTAAATGTTTCAAAAAGTTTTAAATTGGCTTGAATTTTACGGGTGTTACATCTTGAACAGATTCAGATGGGAGCAATCGATGATCAGAACGTTCACTGGTTGGAGCCATCAGTTTCTTTTGAGCTGGTCAATACGTCTGATTCACAGCTCGATTTCCCTCTCACTCCGAAAGCCTTCCTGTTTCGAGGCTTTGAACATATTGAGATAGCTCCACTTTTCGGACTACGATGTCAATAATAAGTTCTTCTCATTTTATCTCAAGTATGACCAACCTTAGTACAAAATATAGAGCTTAAAGAAGATGGTCGTTATGAAAGTTTATTAAATGGTGACCAATAATCTATCCATATAAAGTTCCCGAAGAGTATATTGAGATTACTAGTGTTTATCATCATGCTTTATATTAAATTAAGCTTTCTTGTGAGTCCACATTTATATTTTTGAAACACGTGTGATTGGTTAAAAGTCCCGAAAAATAAGATTTGAGGGTAATATACTACCTCATAATATTCTAGTGAATATATATATTTTTATATATTTTTACCATTAAAATAACTATATAAGATACTTGTATACATTATCTAGCATATTAGGTCTTTAATAATCTTATCATATAACATAAATGGAAGAATAAGAACAATGCAAAAATAAACAAACTTAAAATTATAACATACAACTTTTTCTTGCCTTCCAATTTCATACAAAACTTTTACATGAATATTTAGTTTAATAGAAACATTTAATTGATAATTAATAGTTTTAAGCAACATATAACATTACAAAACTAAGAAAAAACTACGAACTAGGGATCAATAATCCTCAAATATTTTTCACTAATCGTGATTAGGTTATTGGTAATTGGTAAATTTGAATGAAAATACTGCCACAAATGAAACATGTCATATCTTGATTGTTATATATTTTTAGATAGAAACAACATAATTATTGATGTTTTGTTTTTCGTAATTAATATTTCCTTTTAAATAAATGATATGTCATTAGATTCAAAGAAGAAGAGAAAATCAAAAACCTCTACAAATGGTGAGAAGGGCCAGAAACACAAAGATATCATCACATTATTCATACGCCCTCTCACTCTCAAACCCCAAAATTTGCTGCTCGTAGTTGTCAGCAACAATTCACTCAAAATTATTCTCAATTGTTCCAACAAAATCGATTCCGTGTTTGTTAAAATCCAACATAAACCCTAGAGGTAATCATTTATGTCCCTCAAAATCACCAGTGGTTTTTCTCCAATGAGCATCTTGTTCATTGATCTTTGTCGCGTCTAATGGATTCATCTTCTGTCTGTTTACTTTTTATCTAGAAATCTCTAAAATCTGCTGGGATGGCACTCTCAGTCTCCGACTTACCTGCGATGTATTCACTGCTTTCCAATTCACTTAGCGGCGATGTAGCCTTGCGGAAGCCTGCTGAATCGACGCTTGCGCAGTCCGAGAACATGCCGGGGTTCTGTTCTTGTCTAATGGTATGGTAAACGAATGTTTTATTTATTTATTTTTTAATTTCTAGGGTTTGAGATATCATTGATGGTTTACATTCTGTAAGTTTAATCAGCATTCTCGATTCTCGAAACTTTCTTATCAGAAGTGTTATCAGGAAATGCGAGCATTACAGATTCTGTGGTCTAGAATAGCAGTTGTACTTGTACATATCAAAATCCAAATGCTAACTAGATTTAAGAACAATCATATGTTACAAATTAATTTATGCATTCCATACATGTCTGCTGAATATATCTTAACAATATCCAAATGCTCAAACATATGCCACTTCATGATATAATTTATGTTGCAGGAAGTGATAACTGCAAAGGACTTGGCATCTCAGACTGATGTTCGTTTAATGGCATCATTGTATTTCAAGAACAGTATCAATCGGTACTGGAGAAACAAGCGTGACTCATCGTAAGTTTATCTAGCTGTAGCTAAATTGTTTTGTGATTGATATTGATCATATGAAAATATGAAATTGTATATTGTAGGCATTGATAGTTTGATACTTTGATAGTAATACATGGCTTGCATATGTCACTTTCTTGATTTACCAACATGATTTTCTCTTTTCCATTATTTACCAACATTCTTGGTTTTCTCTGAGGATTACTTCTGCTGTAAATCTTAATGTAGAACAAATAATTTCAGGGGTATTACCAATGAGGAGAAGTCACATTTGAGGCAAAAGTTGTTGTCTCACTTGAGAGAGGAGAACTATCAGGTGGGACCTACATTTGTCATCGACCAGTTTGCATCTTATTTTCAACAACTTATCTAGTTGAATCACCTTTGATCACCTTTATGGATATTTTCAACTAATCTTACAAACCCTTTATTTTATTCTGACTACTAAAATCTCTTCACTGCATTCTCATTTAATCTCCAAAATACAGATTTCTCTTACCTTGGCTGTTTTAATCTCCAAAATAGCTCGCATTGACTATCCTAAAGAATGGTATGCTTTCTATATGATCCACAATCACTTTTCTAACTATATTAAATTGATTTTATAGCCATAAATATTTGACTTCATATTTACTTGCTTTCAGGCCGGAGCTCTTTTCTGTTTTAGCTCAACAACTTCAATCATCAGATGTTCTTACTTCACACAGAATCTTTATGATTCTTTTCCGAACATTAAAGGAGTTATCCACCAAACGTCTTGCATCAGATCAAAAGAACTTTGCTGAGGTAAATCAATTGTGGAAAAGAAAAGTTAACAACTTCATACAACCTTTTAATGTGTAATCTTACATTAATTTTGTTTTGACAGATAACATCCCAGTTTTTTGAGTACAGCTGGCATCTTTGGCAAACTGATATGAAGACCATACTAAATGGCTTCTCTTCCCTTACTCAAATCACAAACTCAAATGCTTCTGAAAATCATCAAGATGAACTTTATTTAACATGTGAAAGATGGTTTCTGTGCTCAAAGATAATCCGTCAGTTGATAGTTTCAGGGTTTCCAAGCGATGAAAAATCTTTACAGGTACAAAGGGTATTATCGTCTTTTCACATATTCCCTCTAGGAATTTATTTAACTTAACAATAACAATAACTTGTGTTTCTTGTAGGAGGTTCGGCCAGTCAAGGAGGTCTGTCCTTTGCTGTTAAAAGCAATCCAATCTCTCCTTCCATACTGTGAGTATCAATATATCATTATTGACCAAAATGCCCTCCCACCAGTTCCATTTGGGAAACAAAATTCCATAAGTTTTGATCCTATAAATCTTATTTCACAGATTCATCTTTTGGGGAACACCATTTGAAACTTTTTGAATTTATAAAAAGGGCTTGCACGAAAGTGATGAAGATTTTAATTGCAATTCAGACAAGGCATCCGTATTCTTTTGGTGACCAAAATGTCCTCCCATTAGTCATGGATTTCTGTTTAAATAAAATAACAGATCCTGAACCAGAGATAATGTCATTTGATCAGTTTCTTATTCAATGCATGTCAATGGCAAAAATTGTTCTTGAATGCAAGGAATACAAACCAATCATGACTGGACGTGTGGTAGATGAGAATGTAGTAACCCTTGAGCAAAGAAAGAAAAACATTTCTGGAGCTGTTGCAGGGGTACTTTCGTCTCTTTTGCCCAATGAAAGAGTTGTACTCTTGTGTAATGTATTGATAAGAAGGTAGTTGAAAATTTATCCTATTTACTGTTTTGTAGGATGGAATTGGAGAAGGAATGGAATGGTTCATTCATTCATTGACTTAATTCCATTGGAATGAAAGAAAGCTGCTTGTTTTGCATGATGGAATGGAATGTCTCATTCCATTCCATTCCTTTTTCCTTCATCATTCCATTCTATCCAATCAAACATATCTTTATTGTCATTCATTTACTTCTATCAATGAAAATACATTGCTATTTCATGTTTTCTTTATCAGGTACTTTGTATTAACATCAAATGATTTGGAGGAGTGGCATCAAAACCCTGAGTCTTTCCACCATGAACAGGATGCAGTTCTTTGGTCTGAGAAACTAAGGCCATGTGCTGAAGCTTTATACATTGTTTTATTTCACAATCATAGCCAAGTAGGTTTAAATTTAATTATTATTTATTTATTTATTTTCTGTTTTTGATTTCTTTTTCTGCTTCCAGCTGTTAGGACCTGTTGTTGTTTCAATTCTTCAAGAGGCAATGAGTGGTTGTCCTCCTTCAGTAACTGATATGACTTCAGGGTTGCTTTTAAAAGATGCTGCTTATGGTGCAGCTGCATATATTTATTATGAGCTGTCTAATTATCTCAGCTTTAAGGATTGGTGTGACTTTTTTACCCTTCTAGACTTTATATATCTGTTATCTATATGATACTAAGACCTTGTTTCCTTTTTTCCCATTAAATGCTTTGTTTTTTTTTTTTCACTTATTATCTAGATTTTTTTTGTAGGTTTGACAATGCTTTATCATTGGAACTCACAAATGATCATCCCAACATGCGGATTATACATAGGAAAGTTGCACTTATTCTTGGTCAATGGGTTTCTGAGGTAATGTTATTGTGTTCTTGATTTTTTTTTTTTTAATTTTTATTTTATTTTTAAATAATACAATTCCAGTTTCGTTGATTTAAATTATTCCTTACACATAACTTAAAACTAATGAAAGCTTATATTCTTTTTACATGCAAATGACTACGTTTATATAGACATAACTAAGTACAAACTCACTTCTGTTTTATTTGGTAATTCTTTGTCATATTATTTATTTTATTATTTTCTTTTTGTAATTTATTTTTGCAGATTAAAGATGACACCAAACGACCAGTCTATTGTGCTCTCATCAGGTTGCTACAGGACAGAGACTTATGTGTCAGGGTATAAAATATAAGTTATATAATTCAGTCCATAAAGCCCATTGCTTTTTTTTTTTAATCATAAAAAGATTCCATTTTTTTTTTAATATTTCAGCTGGCAGCATCTCGTTCATTATATTTCCATATTGAAGATGCTGCTTTTTCACAGCAAGAATTTTCTGATCTCCTCCCAGTTTGTTGGAAACTGTCTTTTAAGTTGATTGAGGATGTTCAAGAGTTTGACTCCAAGGTAAACATTCCTTATAACTTTATAACTTTTTATATAATCTTTTATCATATAAAAATTACATTTCTAACTTTTTGTTGTTTCTCATTTCAGGTTCAAGTGTTGAACACAATCTCTGTGTTGATTGCTTATGTTGGTGACATCATCCCATACGCCCTTGAATTGGTTCAATTTTTTCAAAAGGTATTTAATCCAATTACTACATAACATTTCATTTAAATTGTAAAATTGTTGAATCAATTTGTCTAACTGGAAAACAATTCCTTTTTAAATTTAAAGTCTTGGGAGGAATCTTCTGGTGAAAGCCTTCTACAGATTCAGCTTCTAAATGCTCTGAAGAACTTTGTAGTTGCACTTGGGTACAAATCCCCTATGTGCTACAATGTTCTACTCCCTGTTTTAGTTAGTGGACTTAATCTTAATAGCCCAGATGAACTTCTTGAAGACAGTATGCAGGTATTTCACTTTTCTCTTTAATTAAAAAAAAATCATTTTATTTCTGTTAACTAATTTGATACATTACATTACTGATTATTCATTCAAGCTATGGGAAGCTACAATTTCCAATGCCCCTTCAATGGTCCCACAACTCCTGGCATACTTCCCATCTCTAGTGGATATACTTGAAAGAAGTTTTGATCACTTAAAGGTTATGATTAATTACAATATAAAAAGATAAAAGACGTAAATGCCCTTAGAAAAGCTTGTGATTAGTTACAATATTGGAATGATTTTTTTATTTTAGGTTGCTGCATCTATCATCGAAGGATACATAATTTTAGGTGGGACAGAATTTCTGAGTTTGCATGCTTCAAGTGTTGCTAAGCTTTTCGATCTTGTTGTTGGAAATGTGAATGATAAAGGCTTACTTTCTATATTACCTGTCATTGATGTTTTAATTCAGGTATATATATTTTAATTCAACAGTTTTTGTTTTTATATTTCATAACAAATATAAAAATTACAAAAAAGAAAAGAAGATTGGACATTGGATTGATGGTTAGAGGTGTTGGTATTGACAGTGTTCTCCTTCTGATGGGCCACAGCTGATCAGTAGTACCCTTCAGGTATTTGTTTTTGTTTTGTGTAATATTATAATTTATAATTCATAAAAAATAAAATTTGTTTGGATGATTTGTTAGAAAATGATGGTGATATGCTTAACTGGAGATGATCGAGTGCCTACAAGTACAGCTGTAAAGGCATCTTCAGCTGCTATTCTTGCAAGAATTTTGGTGACAAATACAAATTTTGTAGGGCAATTAGGATCAGAGCCTTCACTTTTGATGTTGCTTCAGAATGCTGGTTTCCCTGTTGGGGAGAATATTCTTTTATGTCTTGTTGATGTATGGCTTGACAAGGTTAGTTCTGCACCTGTATTTCAATTGATGGACGTAAAAATTACCATTTTGCCCTTAACTTTTATACCATTACAATCGAGGGGAAAGCATCTTCCACTGAATCTGTTGTTTGTTTTGCATTATTACAGGTTGACAATGTAAATTATATTCAGAAAAAGACATTTGGATTTGCGCTTTCTATAATTCTAACATTAAGGTTGCCTCAAGTACTTGATAAATTAGATCAAATACTAAGGTACTTATATTATTACATAACTCATAACTTGTGGATTTGTTTTTTTTTTTTTATTTTTTTATTTTTTTAAAACTGAATACATTTTCACTGGCAGTGTATGTACAAGTGTCATATTGGGTGGAAGTGAAGACGCAGCTGAAGATGAATCCAGGTTACAAACTTACAACTTACAACTGTTGTTTCTGCAAAAGACGCAAATGCCCTTCTCATCATCATTTTCATTTTGTTTGTAAAATTGCAGCAGTGATAGTATGAGCTCTAGCAGACCTCAATTCCCAAGTAAAGAATTCAGGAGGAGACAAGTAAATACATCTATATTCTCTTTTCTTTTCATATATGTATTTATGAATTTAATTTAGTTACAAAAAATGAAGCATGTTTTTTTTTTTTGATTGTTTGTTTGTTATGTTAGCAGATGAAAATTGCAGACCCTATAAATCAGTTGTCACTTGAGAATTCAGTGAGGGAGAATCTCCAAACATGTGCTAGTCTACATGGGGACGCCTTCAACACTGCCATGGCTAGAATGCATCCTGCAGCATTAGCCCAACTGAAACAGGCTCTTAAAATGACATAAAGGGCATTTTCGTCTTTTTCTTCCTTTCTCTTGTGCGATATCCATTTTTTCTTTCTCTTTCTTTCTTTTATTTTTTTTACCAAGTAGGGCCGTGTTCCTACAATACCATGATGGAGATATATGCCCACGCCTTTCTTCTCTACAAAAAAAAATAAAAAAAATAGGGTAAGATAGAGCTTTTTCATATTTTTTAAAATACTATTTTATTCATTTGTTCTATAAATTGATATTGGTGGGACCCATAAGTAAGCTTAACTATATCGGATTTGATCTAACTTTGTATTTGAATGAATTTGCTATAAGTGGTTACATTTTAAAGTAAAGAGTTTGTTGCTGTGTTTTTAAAATTAATTCTTTTTTATTGTTTGTTTTGACTTTTGACAGGTGGCGATGGGTGTTGTTTGGACAATAGAGATTCTTGTGGGGTTTGATTTTTGGGGGTGGATTTGTTTGGGGTTTTTGTTTTTGAGTTAAAATTGAAGAGTGCTGCTCATGGGACACATGGCAATAGTGTAAATAGTGTGGTCTTTTATGTCTGTTTTTTTAAAAGGCATGAGGGTCTCTCACCATATTTACTTTTCGGGTTGGTGGGGTTAAGTTTCACTAAAAAATTACTACTAATGAGTTGGTTGTGTAAGGATAGAGATCATGTTTGAGACATCATCATTGAATATTTGTAAAACTTTGTTTTGCTGTATTTTATATCTGAGAAATTTGGGATTGATGTGATTTTTTTAAGGAAAATGTCACTAACACAATTAAAATTTATCATTTGTTCGATTTGATCATTATTTTTTTTCGAGTAATATACCATCAATTAAGCCATTTTGGTCGATTTGAAATGATTACTAGGTGACCAAACCTATGTGGAAGTGTGATATGTTGAGGAAACTTATGTGACAATGTTCCATGTCATCGTTACTCCACCCGCAATAATAATGAAGCCCTTATTTGGACCACTTCCTACTTCATTGTTACCTTCCTCAAGCAAAAGCAAATCTTGAAGCTTCTTTGGTTATTTCAAGACACTCTTGTGGCTTGTTAACTACACAATAAACTACCACCACTTGCTTGCATCTGTGTGTATGTCATGGTGTGAGACTTTGTGATTGTGAGAGACCAGCTATGGAGTGAACATCTTGGCGCTTTGCAAATCCTGGGAGACATTTTTGGAATTGTCGAAAAAGTTTGGTGAGCTTTGATCTAGCCCTATTTACTATTTATTTGAAGATTCTAGCCCTATTTACTATTTATTTGAAGATCATGCAAGAAAGTTACTGATTCAATCTCTTATTTTGGTTTGGAAAACCCTTTTTTGTTCCGATAAAACCCTAACTTATTTGATCATGTTGGTGTGCTTCTGCTTCGTACATATATACATATGGTAGATGTTCGATCTTGATGATAACCTTTGCTGATTACATTTTTTGATAACATACATTTTTTATTTTCTTAGACTTTAGTGGTATACATTTTCTAGTTACATATCTTGTTATTGAATACTGTTATGATTACATATTCTGATTAATCTATCTTGTTGGTAAATATGGTGGAAATGTGGATTGATTATTGTTATGTTGTTGATCTGATTACTTGACTAGCAAACTAGATGAAGGAATATGAAAACATTGGATGAAAAGATGATGAACAGGAGAAAGTGTAACGACCCGAATTTTCTACACATATATGTAAGGAACTATCAAAGTTTTTCTTACAAAATGTGAAGTTCTACTAACTCGAAACAATTTACATCCTTAGGTTAGTTTTAGGTTTACATTAATCTCAACAAAAAATGAACAACAATGAAATAAAAGCTACTTTTGGTCTAAGTCCTTATGCTACTATCTTTTCACATAGAATGATTGCTACCACATTTCTGGTGAAAAACATGAAAAATATCTATTACATCATACCACGTTTCTAGTGACTTATTCTATCTATTTTCACATTAATCTACTCTTTTTTCCTTACATACTCTATCCTTTTGTTTTATTCTTCTTGTACTCTGCTCTATTCTCGTTCTTTCTCATCACTTTTTTTTCTACACTTGCTCTATCTCATCTCATGTCTTCTCATCTTTTCTCGTACTCATCTAATACTCTATTTTTTGCCTATTCTCAAACTCATTTCTCTTTCTATCTTTACCTTTTTCATGCTCTTCTCAAATCTCATACTATTGACATGCTTTTCTCATACTATACTTACTTTTTACTTCTCTACCCTCAACCTCTCGTGCCTTAGCATTCTATTCTCATATAGTCCCAACCAGTCCAATCACATATGATAGGTTCATCTATCATAAAGGGGGACAACATACCTCTAGTTCTACCGGGAACAACCATCCAGACATAACCCCTGCATCTTAATCCCTCACAGATTCCTTACTTATAATCCCTCATGAATTATCTCTAAGTTCTTAAAGAGCTATCTTACCTTGTTATACTCATGGAACCCTTTCTCCATCTTCTCTAACCACACACAATCTCATTCCTGCAGGAACTATCTGTGACATCCCCATTTTTACGGCAAATTTAAAACTTTTTATTTATTCTTATTTAATACAGAGTTTATTCATTAATGCAAAATTTGATCCCGTAAAAGTATTTCTGAAGAAATGTCTCCATTGATTTATTAAGGCTGGGGATGCCATAACTGATACAAGAAACACAAGCATATAAGGAGACTTACCATGTCTCAATATACTAATGATCTACATCTCCTTGAATCTCTTAGTAGATACATACATCATTATCCAAGAATCTTTATTTAATTACCTACGATTCAAATAAACTGAGTGGGTTAGGTTGGGAAACCTGGTGAGCACATAGGGTTTTCAACCCACAATATTATATTCTTTTAATCATATAATCTTCAACATTTAAATATCCCAATTACCCCATTCCCCGTTATCCTTACTTTCTAATCCTATTATTATGATCTCAAGGGATCATTTATAGGGACCTTTGTCCGCAACCATCTATATTTCCTAGATGGTTAGTCACGACGATATGATGGTATTTTGGGTATGCATGAAAGTGCAATAGTACTTTAGATAAAGACGGCATGCATGACAATACAATAGTACTTTAGACAAACACGACAAGCACTACAAGTCATGACTTATTAATTCACACAGCTCTTACTAACCTATCACAACTATTATCCTACACAGCCCTATCACATCCTCTTCATACTAACCTATCACAACTATTATCCTACACAGCCCTATCACATCCTCTCATTTTTATTTTTACACAACCTATTACTACCCAATCATATTATTAAGTATGACATACGATTAGATCAAGTAACAATCATATCATATAGTATGAATATATTAAACACAACAAAAACAACGCACATAGCATTTAAGTATTTAAAATACTTGCATCTATGTATAAGTTGAAAGTAACTATGTACTCACATGATAGAAGTAGGTGACTCAAAGTTAGAGGTAGCGCTTCGCCTCAATACTTCTCAATGACCTAAACGTATAAAGTACTAAGTCTTAGGCTAGTTTCATGATTCTGGGAACTACATATTAATAGTCTCGATTCCTCAACAATCCCAATATCTACATCAATATCTATCAAGTAAGGAATAACCATGTAGGATCATATTGGAAGTAAGGTTTGTTTGGTATACAAAGTGTACTGTTTGGAAAGCCCACTTTAAACACCTCACTAAATCTAGCCTATATATCATCCTCGTAAGTAGATCAATTAGTATAATGACTTAGAATCATTGATAAATCTTAATTATAGATTCATAATAATGAGTATGACTATAATTACAAGTTACGATTGAATAAAATAAGTGTAACTCAACTTACAAAGTATTTTGATGAAAACCGGGGATTATGCGGGAAGAACTCTGATATGGGGGCTTCTATTCACTGGCTATCTGAAACCACATGGCTTCGCCGATAGGGTCGTGAAGTCAGGAGTAAAAACTAGAAAGAGATTCAGAGAGAATATGAAGGAGAGGTGTGAAGAAAATGAAAGAAATCGCAGCTATATATATATATATATATATATATATATATATATATATATATATATATAGACACACACACACACAAGTAGGTTCATGCGAAAACATAAATACTTTGCGAAAATGTGAAAACATATTTTATCTTATAAAAACCAAACATATGTACTTTAGAAATTAAATTTATTAGCAATAAATTAAGGATAATAAGTTTACATGAGAGGGTGTTATGGTAATATAGATTTAAATGTGGTTTTAACATACTTCAAAAAACATGTTTTGCTAATATGAAACAGTTTCTCATGTATCATCGATTATTATCATGTAGTTCAAAATTTGGATGAATTTTTGTCCAAAAACATAAGGTTGAGATAACACAATCTCATAGGTTTTCCTTGTTTTCATGTTTCGACAAATTCTTTGCATTTTTTGCATGAGCCCTCCTATATATATATATATATATATATATATATATATATATATATATATATATATATATATATATATATATACACACACACACCTTGCACACCGTGCATGCTGTCGGCTAGGGTGACATGTTGATCATTTACCGGTGCCACGTGTCACATTATGTATGGTATGTCAGTACGCACCGGGCCCTCTATCTGGGCGCGGGACTGCGGGCAGATTTTCCTGTTTTCTTGAAAAATTCACAATTCTTTCTTTGAGCTCTGTTTTCGATGGGTTTTATACCTACCCATAGCTATTGATGAGATCTACAAATTTCATTTAGACTCTGTCGGCTAATTTTGACTTTATATTTAAAGTTATATTTTTACAGACCTAGACTGTTAATTCCGTGTAAAAATCATAACTCTCTCATATGATATCTGCTCTTGACTGACTTTATATTGACATATAGGTATGGACGAGATCTTCAACTCTCGTTTAAATTATTTTTCCTAATAACCGACTAAATTTAGATATAGTTTCTAAGTTGTATACTAATGTGCTGAAACTTTGAAAAATCATAACTTTCTCTCACGTTGTCAGATTTAGGCGTTCTCTATATGTTTAGAAACTTTGTCACATATACTACAAATTTGGTTAAGGTTATTTATCCTAAATATCCTTTTATCAAAATATCATTTTTATTGTTTATAGTACCTTAAGCGTCTAACCTGAATCTGCGGGTGTTACAATTATCCCCCCTTAGGATGATTACGTCCTGAAATCATCAGTAGAAAAAGGGATTGTATAATGAATCCACACGTTACTTTTCCATCCTAAGTAATAATCGTAACTCTTGGATGTATTGACTGTTGATGATGCTTGATCCTGCACCTGCTATTCCTTCTAAATTCGATCTCCATTGGTGGCTCCTATTCCTTATAGAATAGACTTAATATAAGACAAGATATTTTGTAACATCCCAAGTTCAAAAGCAGGAGTTCAGGGGTGCTAGGTGTAAATAAAGGAGTAGACTCGAGGAGTAGGTGTCTTAACTCATCGAGTCGGAGCGGGTGTTGGGCACGTATTAAGTGACCAACTCGACAAGTCGGCGGCTGGACTCGGCGAGTTGGTGATGGAAAGAGTAAACCTTAAAATTTAGGGTTTGTGTGCTATTTAAAGGATCTTATGTCCTCACCTCAGCCCCCTTACTACCTCTTGACGGCCATAAGCAACCCTAAACGACCCAGGCCCATTTGTGAGTGAAAGAAATTAGAAAGTGTGTTTTGAAGCAATTGTTAGAGGAAGGCTAGGAGGATTTGATCATAGAAGAGCTGGAGCAT